GAGGGTCAATGGATCAGCTGTAAACTGTGCTTCTGCACAACACTGTGTATACTCTGGTGCTAATACAGCACAGAGAGGAGGAAGAACCAGAGCAGCACTGTTCAGTGCCTTCCATAGTCATCAAAGTGCACAGAAAAGATAATTCATTCAGTTCTTCCTGATTCCAAAGCATAAAAGTACTTCTTCATCTATGCAAATACTCAACATTATTTTCAGAAATGTTCATTCAACCAGGTGCACATGTATTGAATAGCACCTGCAATTGCCCCATCATTATTGGCTCCTACACCTATTCAAAAAAAAGGTTTCTCCAATCATCCTTGACATCAGACTTGTACAGGATAATACCCTATCCTGGTCCATTATGGCACACTATGAATTGGACCACCACTGAGCCTAGTTGGAACAAATTTTAGCAAAATTGATTGTCTAACTGATGGTCAATCTGAATTGAGATTCAGACTGATACTTGGGTTCTTGAGCTTATTTGATCACTTGAAGACTCACACCTGGGGACTCCATCAGTCCATGAATAGTTTTGGGACAAGCTTGGAGCCAATTAATAAAAATCTAATAGTTTGGTCCTGAGAATGCACTAAATATTTTGAGAAACTGTGATAAAGATTCATAGGGTATTATCTGAGAATGTAGTGCATCATGACCACATATCACATCTGCCCATGGTACAAGTTTGTTACATATTCTAAAGGGCCAGCACTCAATAGGATATCAGAAATATCTCAGTGGCAACAATTATCACTGGAGCTGCAGATGATGAGACTATATATTGAGGTAAATTTTTTCTTTTGCCAAAGCTCCATTCCAATCCCATTTCTCTAAATATCTGCTAATATGATCTATCTTATTTCTCTTATCTCTTTTGCTCTCCTGATTATTGCACACCCCAGTGAGGTGCCTCTAACTGCTGCTGAGCTTTCTCATCACACTGAGCTTGAAACAGCTACCTGCCATTCTCTTGCAGATTGTCAGAGCCATCTTGCTTGGCACAGATACACTGACAGGTCAATCTCTCATTGTATGGTGCTTACTGAGGATCTCCCAAGGAAGTGGAGGCTTGCTACTCATTAGTATCTTTCTCCATCCCTCATAGATCCTTCATACATCCGAATCTTATACAATCATCAGATGCTCTATACAAATGCACACTTACCATCAAGGAGGTTGTGAACATGAGCCATCTGTCAAACATAACAGGGCTCACATCTGACTCAGACCCTTTCACATCTAATACCTCATGTATACTCACTCCAGAGCTTAAGCAGGGCCTGTACTATGTTCAGGGAGAATATGTCTGCTCAGATATGCATGAAAACCAAACTGGGGTGCCCACCTACATGAACATTAAGCTGATCAATATATCTATGTATGAGCCTATCACCAGTATCTATCTTGATGTGTGGCATTGTAATGTGACTGGCATCTATGCTGGCATCATTGTGGATGGCAATAGTGATGACACAGATGAGAGTAATTGAGTCCATCAAGATTTATTTGCTTTTTATTTCTTCCTTTGACCATTAGTTGAAAGAACATGACATTCTTGCATGCTATCCAGCTGATAAACAATGAGGGATACACTCAGTTTGAGTCTATCTTTCCTGGTGCATCTCTTTCTCTATTTGTTTTTTTTTTTTTGCTCAACTGATGGCTGTCTAAGGACATTATTCTAACCAGGCAATCCATTTCCATATGATCATCTATGAAAATAGAACACTCTTTGATAACAGCACCTTCTCTTCTGACAGCCAACAACACATTGGTAAGCATCACTCCTCTCACCTTTCATCTGGTGATACTAGCTCTCTAACTGTAGGCCAAGTGTTCTTCAACCAAGATCTCATCACCACAGTAGAGGTGATGTCTTCATATGTGAACAACACAATCATGATCACCAAAAATGAAGACAACTGTGTGTTCATCATGGGTGTTGATCCAACAAGGCTAGTGAATCCTCAGCAATGTCTGAAGGTGAAACTGTGATGCAGGGCTCATTTACTGCTGACAGCATGTTGACTTGAGGAGACAAAGACCTGTCAGACACAATCACTAGTGTATCATGCTCATCCATGTCCATACTTGAAAAAGATAACCCTGGTATGGGAGATGTTGGTGGTGAAAGAGAATATTCATGAGAATATATGTCACCTCCACCACTGAGCTCAGATAAGGCCTCTGCTCAATGAGCTATGTCAAGAGCAGCTGTGAATGATGTGCTCCAAGATTTGGATCTGCAAGATCATGAGTTTTCTAGTGTATCATCTGGAGTTGGGGAAGGAGATAAAGAGCAAAGTGCCTGACTGTCTCTTGGTGAATCTGCAGTATCTGAAAAATCATTGTAATCCAATTCTGACTGTGAAAATTTTCTTCCTTCAGAAGAGAAGAGAGATGATATGGAGCAACTCATAGGAGGTATGCTACTTTCACTGGCTACTCACACAGCAGAAAGAATGTGGTTCTCATACAGCTCACCTTTCTTTCTTGTCTGCCTACTCTCTGCAGTTGGAGGCACACCAAAATCAAAACTCTCTCTGGGTACAGGAATTCCTCTCTTCAGCTTGAATTTCACAATTTTATCCCATAGACCATCTGAGGGTATCACAGGCTGGTTTACTGATAAGGAAGGCACTGAGGGCCTTTGTATTTGTGATACATTCTACTGCTGAAGAGTGGAAATACACTCCTTCAAGTTCACTGAAGGCTGCTGCACACAAGAGGTCTTGTAAACATTAATTAAATAAATCTGTTCAACATTAGACAAAAAAAAGATGAGTTAACATATATCAAGTCAATAGGAATACCAATTGTTACAAAACAACCAGTGACTGCAACATGAGCAGGCACTGCAGACACAAAAGCTGAGACTGAAGAAGAAAAAAAATGGACAAAGCAAATACAAGAGAAGGGATCTCAGTCATTAGAGAGGACTGAATCACCCAAACATAGTAATACTTCTCAGAAACTGATCAGACTGGGCTCTTATTCATCTTCACTGAGACCTTGATGCATTCTTGATACCTTGCCTGCTGCAACTCAGAGGGTTGATGCCAAGTCATATCAGATAGACAATATCACAGATATATGAATTATTACTACTACCAATATTATTGCAATTCTAGTATCTACTATGCTCTCTACATCAAAACCATAAAAATCATGCACTTCTAAGAACCAAGTATTCTAAGCCAAATAGTCCTCATTCTTGTCCCCATTAGAACAGCCTTGGTACAGCTGTGGGCCATGGACCACATACCATCACAAAGATGCATCCACCATATAGGCACCAGTTTCTGCTTAATCTGAGTCCATGCATTAGCCTTTCTTGTGATGAAATCTATGTCAATGGGTAAGGCATGCCATGGCTTGGGCTCATAAAGTGTCCAAGGAATGCAAATTTTAACTTTATCCAGTTCATTTGCAACTCTTTCTAATGCCATAGACAAACCCTTGGATACAGAAGTAAATTTGTTAGAAGACTGGGATACTTGTAGATGTATGGATAGAGTAACATGATATCATTTGGCACAGGGATTCCATCCTGTGGGAGAAGGTAACCTAGTGACTGTCACAAGATCAACAGGACTGCTGGGGCATGATATTGGGGGGAATGTCTGCATATTGATTGAAGGAACAAGCCATGATAGGGGGACTTTGCACAAGAGTATGGCACCAACTGATGAAGTGTATTCAGACAATGTAAGGAGGGCATTGATGATGGTGGATATATTGTGATTGTTATGCACTGGCAACCAGGATTGCACATATAACTCTCTGAAGTGCTGGGTGTATATATTCCAGATGTGTCAAGGCATCTGGGCATATGACCCTAGTGTCTCTAAGACATCTTCTTGTGCCTCAAGGATCTGGTCAATAGTGAAACTCATAAGAAGAGCTCTATTCAAAGATTAATCAGAATCAGAAAAAACCAGATTGATTATTCACCTATCTTTCAAAGGAAGTAGATCAGCATTAAATTGATCCAATGCCAGGAAGAAGATGATTAACATCAGTCTGCAAAATGTCTCAATATTTCTTGGTCTCTCTTTTAGCTTGTGCAAGAGATATCAGAAAGTCCAACTCATCTCATGGTCTGCACAACCATCAGAGTCTGTCCAGTCACAGTGCAGACTAGAACCACAGTGACCCAGTCTGCAAGCATGATGGAATGAGGCATGGCATTGACAATCAATTTATCCTTGCACAAATCTCTTTCATCAGAGTCATTGCTAACTAATGTAAATGTAGGAGATAGAGGCTCATTGATGTCATCACCTAAATGGTACTCTGCAGAACAATCATAATTGGGAGGTGATGACATGTATGATAGGGGCTGAGTCAACAACTTGAGATCAGCTATCCAATTTTAAATTCCTATCATCCTACACACAGACTTTGGTTCCAAACTCATGTAAGTCCCTGAGATTTGGTTTGGTGCCATATACCATTTCATATGTTGTCTTTCCCTTCAGAGCTCAAATTGATGTTCGGTTTTTGAGCCAAACTGCATGTTTTAAAGCCTCTCCCCACAGCAATTTTGGTAGTCCTGAAGCATGTAGCATGGTGTGAACCTTCTTGACTAAAGTACAGCTCAGTCACTTGGCAATTCTATTGTGCTTGGGGGTGTCATGCACAGTCAAATTTTGTCTGGTGCCCTTTTCAGCCAAGTAAGCAGAGAATTCTTTGCAGAGATATTCTCCACATCAATCTTTGTGTAAAACCTTGATTTTTGTATCAGATTGTGTCCTGACCTAAGCCTTATATTGCTTATAGGTCTCGAAGGTTTCGCTTTTTGCTTGGACAAGATATACAGTCGAAATATTGGTATGGTCATCGGTGTAGGAGATGTAGTACTCCTTATATTGCAGTGTTTTGACCGGTGAGTGTCTCCCAAGGTTGGAATGAATTTCATCTCCAAAATTCTTTGCCCTCTCTCATTCCCTAACCTTCTTGACAGGTTTCCGAGTCTTCTTCCCATACTTGCATCAGTCACACGATTTTGGTGACTCTGTTTCATTCAGAATGATTCCTGAGATGAGGAATTCCTTCACCAATCGTTTTGCAGCCTCAGGAGAAATATGGCCCATCATCTGATGCAATTTATCAATTGTTATGGTTATTGGGGGACCATCCTTTCCATCTACAGCCATTTACTTTGGCCAGTCGTTCTCCATGCGATAAAGATCATGCTTGACCGGAATTTCGGCCAGTAATTTGTTCTTTGGATCGTAAATTCGGCACTTTGTCCCTCACAACAATACAGCATGTCCTAATGCAGCAATGTTGCTCACAGACACGAGGGTGCCACCTAGAGTTGGGCCATACAACACGTCTTTTAAAAGAATAGTTGTTTCGACTTTTTCCTTTCCTGGAGTCGCAATTTTCATGTCCCTTCGTCCTAATGCACTGGACTTTCCATTATCTGCAGCGGTTACGTGCTTTGGCTGGATGGAGACGAAATTAAGGAATCTGTAGCGATATGGGGACATATGACGCGATGCTCCAGAGTCATATAGCTCTGTTTCAACCAGTCATGAGTTTCCAGTTCCAGCAAGGAATGCTCTATCAAAGGTGGAAGTATATCCTTCGTCTCCTTCATCAGACACTGTCTCTTGACTGGTAGGACCATTTGAATCAAGTCCTCAGTCGATCCGTACATCTGGAATAGCTTTGAAGCAATCTTCGATGTCACTGAAGTATCCATTTATTTGGAATGAATCCAGGGAGTCCCCATCATCTTCTGAAGCTTTTGACAAGTCTGAGATGCTTTCTAGGTCGGGAATATCATCCTTATCGATGTCACTGAATATTTCGTCGACATCCGATATCCAGGATGTATATTCATCAAATTCCAAGTCGCTTTCTGAGCTGAATACACTCTCCAAGTCTGCCATCGAATCACAGTCACTGTTGTCGATATATTCATCATCTGAGGACTCTGAGACATCCTCAAGGTCTGGCATCGATTCATAGTCGCTTTCAGCATCGATTTCATGAGGGGAACGATTAGGAAGTGAGTTGTCAATTTCTGCGTCGGATTTTCTGCTTTCTCTCTCACCCAGACTGATATCTTCATCGTCTGTTAGCCAGGCAATTTCTTCATCCACATATTTGACTTTTAGCCCTTCTAAAGGACTATTCTCCACCCCTGTGGAAGACTTGGCAGCCAAGTGTTCAGCAACATTTTTGTTCAGCCATTTCCAATCATTTGCAGTCATCCTCCTTGGATTCCGAAGCATACACACTGCTCAAACACACCATCATCGTCGCTATCTGCAGCAGTATTTGCAATAGCCTTCCCTTTTCGTTTTTGCTTCAGACCCTGTCCTTCTTTTCCTCCACCCTTTGCTCAGCAATCTGTGATTATATGTCCCTTCTTATGGCAGTTATAACACATTGGATTTCTTTCTCTTTCCTTTCCAGCCACTGTTAGATGAGTTTGCATTTACACTGAATGTGACTTCTTTTGCCTCTTTGGTCCGGGTTTTTAGGGCATGTCAGTCAGCTTCATCACCAATACTATGAAGGTAAGCATCTGGGTCGAGGGGTTTGTTGAAGAAAGTAGATGTTGCTGTTAATGCTGCTAGATATGGGTCATATGATGTCAGCAGTGATCCTAGGAGTATTGCAACAAAGTTTTCATCTCCTGAATCTGCTCTCATAGTGATGAGGTCCTCATGTAGGGATTGGAGCTTCCAGCACAAATCCACTGTCATCATCTTCGATTTATTCTCAAATTCATCCTTCACCTTCTCCCACATCTTCCCTGCTGTTGCCTCTCCCTTAACCTTCAAGAATGGGAATCCGGAATCATAGATGCGATTCCCTGCTTTACTATTGCCTCTTCTGATCTCGATAGCCTCACCACTCCTGGGTGATGAGCTATTGATGCAGTTTCCTCTGTTTTGAGATTCTGTGGGTCTGCAGGAATCTGTGGATGTGGTGCCTCGTGATCCTTGTTGAAATGGTCTTGAAGACCAGTAGCTTTGGCAGCAAATACTATGCAATCTTGAGAGAATATCTAGTTCATTCCATTGGTCTTGCAGTGTGGTAGATGGACAAAATACTTGCTGAGTTTGCTGTTGATAATAATGGACATGATTGAGAATGGTGGTTTGAGTTTTTGTGTTTAGATAGAATGAATACATGACTAGCATTTATCAGTGAGATAAGATGATAGTAGAGTGTGCTTTGATGGATTTTTAGGTATGGTTGGAGCCTATGACCTATTGAAATCCTTGTTATAGTGAGCATTTGAGCACAAGTAGAATGAATGGAATGAATGAAGATTGTATTTAGTGTACCAGAATACAGCCATATTTAAATAAAAATGCATAGTCCATAATATAGCTAAATATCATAGAAACATAAGTATCAAGGGAATAATGACTGTGGAAGCAAATGAAGCCATACTCAAGAGTATGAGTGTGTATGGTTGAGCCTAGTTATCATATCCAGATGCTAATCCATCAATCCATCAAGTTGGCTTCATGTCAACATTCAGCTTGTATTCTAACACTGTGCATTTACCTAATATATCCATGATTTCTGCATACAGAGTCTCTGCTTTTATATGTCTCAGTATGATCAAAATGATCTCAGGCTATTTTGGCAATATTCATAGCTATCATAGTAGCATTTCATTGAGTGTCTATTAGCAGAGGATGAGATCTCAGACTTATCAGCAGACTGATTATGCCTTATGCATCTCTCATGTAGTATTGGACATTACTGCTGTACATTATCCTTCCTTGCTCTTAGTCTTTAACCACCATCTTTGTCTGCCTAAAGTTCTAACAGTCATGTCATTTATATAGAGATACTGGTTATCAGTGTCTGACTTTCTGTTTATAAATTCCTATTGAATTTCTTTGTAAGCTTCAAACAATTGCCTTGACAATATTTTCAAAGAAAAATACATTTGAAAAGATAGGTGTCTAGTGAGTAAGCTGATGTCACCCAGAAAAACCATCATGACTTGACAGTATAACAGTCTATATTAGAATTGCTGATCTAGATAATCAACTGAAGCCAAATCCATTTCTTCTTTTTCTGATTGCACTCAGCAGCTCCAGAGAGTTTTCACCATTGTTTCCATAGTCAGTTTCAGTCATGTCACAAATCAAGATACATACTTGAATGGTGCAATATATTTCTTTCTCAAATGATATTTTAGGTTTATAGCCAAGAAGATTACATGCCTGTCATCATGATATTCAGACACAGGCTAAGCACAAGAGCAAGAATGGCACCTTGTCAATATTATACCATTGCACACCTGTTGCAAATTAAACAGTAAATGTGTTGAACTCAGACTTTCCCCCAATAACCATGCACAAAAATTGAGTGACCATAGCAAGAAACAAGGCCAGAGATCAGGAAATTATGATAATCTTCTTTGTTCTATCATCTTCCAACTCTCTGAATATCACTATTGAAAGTCTACTGTGCCATCAATTCTCTATTGGTGATGAAAAATAATTGATCAGCAATGATTTCAGCACTCATGAGTAAATGGTCAATGGCCAAAAAGTGAACATAGGCAGCATTATCCATGTAGACATAATCTATGAGATTTGTATTCTCTCTCATTTGTATATTCTCCTGGCTATCCTCAAGAAGCTTCACCACATGCCAGATAAGCTGCTTATTGAACTCTCTGACCAAGATGAAATGAGCAAGTTTTCACACAGAAACTCTACTGGTGCTTACCCAATCATACTGCATGGCCTAAGAACTACAATAGCTATACCATCCACTCTATTTGCATCAACTACAATTCACTCAGCTAAAGCCTTGGTATGATGATATGCATTATAATCTTGAGAAGATACCTGAACCTCATCTTCTTTCACTCTGGCCAAATCAGCATCTGCTCAAATGATATCAATTGAAGATGTATACACAAGTTTCCTAGTACCTATGGTCTGACAGGCAGATCAAATCAAATAAGTTTTCTCCTTATTAACATGAAAGTACACAGAAAAGGATAATCCCTGAATTAGAGAAGCTATATAGTAGACTACAAATAGCTTGGACTAGTAAAGGTTCATCTCAACAGTCAACTCCAGCTCTACACAGAGAAAATGCATATCTTGTTCAAAACTTCAGTTAAGTATATCTCATCAGTTATGTCTCCAGTGAAATATTCCACCTCTTCCACCATCTCACTTGGGAAAGGCTGATAAAAATCAAAAATAGCAATTTTTGCATTGTCTTGTTCTTTTAGAGCAGCTATGATATGAGATCCAAGAAACCCAACACCACCAATGACCAAATATACAGTGGCAGTCATGTTTTGTCTTAGAGAAATGTGAAAAGGTTAAAAAAAGAGTAAAGCCAGTATGATCTTCTATCAAGATAAAGTGCAGTATAGTTTCTGGTCAATCTATGTTTTGGATATGTAATATAAGGAAGTCCAAGATAAGTGGCCAATCAAATAGATCATCAGAAAATAGAAAGCAAGAGAAGGAGGGCAATTTGGGCACCTCAGATTCATCTAATCAGTTAGAGGTCTTTAAGATTGGATTTGACATTTATCCACCACTAGCTTGTAGACTGATATGATCATCAAAATTTACATATTCATTCAACAAATCACTATGCAGAAACATGGAAGCCAGATAAATGGTCAGTAATCTCCAGCTAATTGTCATACCATTCAGACTTCACTCCTCATGTTGCTCTTCTATGACTGCACATCCTGTCTGGGTCTTCACCTCTCTGACAGTGCCTGTAACAATATACCTTTCACAATTGTTGGCCACATACCAAAAATACAAGGCTTTGGTATGTCTTGAAGGGTAGTTGTGTACTTTGTATATCAATGTATCTTTTTAAAGCCATATACCTATTGTAGAGCATAGTGGATTATTTATCTGATATCATATGGTCTTTCAATTTCTCCATGATGCATGGCCACTATAAAAGAAAGAGTGCATATATAATACATTCTCCAAATTGTGATCTGAATAAAAATACAGTATAAAAACAGCATATTCAAAGTTGCACAGATAGATGACTGGCTTGTAATTGGTACATAGGAATACTGAAGACCATCTAAATACTCATTGAAGAAGTCTTTCTATAGAAGCTACTCTAGTTGATGTAAGTTCATGCTCACTTTTTCTAATTATCTTAATAAAGTGCTTCCAAAGCTCTTGCAGTCAGACCATATGTTCAGAAAGGCTGTAACCATCAAACTGTACCATATCTCTCTAATATGTCACACATTAAACAAGAAACTTGAGTCTTTGGTCTCAGGAATGTTAGATGAAATTCAGATCTGTTATCATGATCTGATTGATACAAAAGATCTTCCTATGGCTACTCTTTACAAATCTCTTATAAGCACTTACCTGATATAAGTTCTGATTTCCTTCAAATGAGTGGGTCACCTTTCCAGTGATCAATTTTTTTTTATCCACACCATATGTCAAGCAATCAATCATCATTTGTTGGAGAACTTCTTCAGTTAGCATCACCTCTCTTTATCTTTGCTTCACCATTTCAATCAGGTTGACCTCCTGTAGGTTGTAATAACTATTATTATAGCATTATGTTGAGTGCCAACTGGCTTAATATGAGGACCTTCCAGTTTTGGTTGTGATTTTACTCACTTTTTGTCCACCATCAACTACATGTCTTTTTCTTGCTATAACTATCAGCTCTGGTTGCTGCCAATTTATCTCTGAATCTCTGTTATCTTAGCTGTGGCTTCAGCTGCTATACACAAGTTGAGTAGACATAGCTCTGTTGAGGTTTGGGATTGAGATAAGAATTGTAGCGGAGTATGGAAGAGTTGCAGCATACAACTGTAGTTGGAGTTTGTAACAAGTCTCTTCTCTATTAGATAAATTCTTGCTACTTATATACTACAAGTGATGTGTTTCAATAATATTCTAGTAAGTTTCTATACTGCAGAAGAGTCTCTGTGCTCAGTCAGTAATAGACTAACTTGAATACTTAGATCATCTTGAAGATTTTAGACATTTTTAGATTGATGCCAAGTCTGGTATACTATATTTGATACAATTGATCATACTTGATCATGCTTGATTCTAACACTGCTCCTCAAGCTGGCAAAGTCTCAATCTCATTGTAAACTTCTCATGCTTGGGTCTGTGCAATGCCATTGTGAAGATATCAGCTATCATATTCTCAGTTGGGCAATATTCTAGCTTGATGATATTGTTTTCAATCTTCTCTTGGACAAAATGATTTTGCACATCAAAGTGCTTTGATCTGTCATGGTATGCAGGATCACAAGCAATGGCAATAGTGGACTGGTTGTCCTCATAGAACACTGTAGGTTTATATTGATTATACTCTAGCTCTGTCAATAAATTCCTTATCAATTTGCAGTTATCTGGATTGTCAGCAAAGTCTGCATTTGTGTAACCATGGCTAGATACTTCATCTTTCTCTCTACATCACATATCAGCTCATAATTTTGAATTTCAGAAATATATTTGAAGATTCTCTTCAAAGTGATCCAATGTTCACATACTGAGTTTGAGGCAAACTTGCTAACAATCTGTACAGCACATGCAATGTCTGGTCTAGTCTCAAGTGCTAAGTATAACAAAGAACCAATCATGGACTGGAATCCATTTCTATGTTTACAGTTTTAACTCATTTTGATGCACTTGTGTAGTATAACATTTTGGTCAAGTGGTGTAGTGACTGGAAAAGCATTCTGGAGACTATAATGATATAGTATATCTTGTATATACTGTTTCTGGAATAGAGATATTGTCTTTTCCTCACATTTTCTTCATATCTCAATGCCTATAATCTTCTCTGGTTCCCAATATTCTTCATATCAAATAAACCCTTTAACTGTTTCTTGACTGCATCTAATTCTTTAACTGCCTTTCAATAAAGGTAATGTACTGTTTGATTTTATCCAATGCCTCATTTTTCTGCTTCATAAACTTTGGAGTACATCATGAGATTGCATCATCAGTAAATTCAATATAATATTTTGATCCCTGTAGTCAGGTGATATATGCAGGCCCCCAAATATCACAGTGAGTGAGCTCTCCATGCTCCTGGCTTTGATGTTTTGTCTCCTGTGGGTATGAATAATATGTTTGCTTTACTTGTATGCATGTCTCATATTGGGATAATGGTGGTGAGTGTTTATCAACTGAGATAATACTATCCTGCTCTAGTGCTCCAATCTCTTCCTTCCAAGGTGCCATGAATTCCAAGTATTTTCACTTCATTTAGGAATATATGACCTTTCAGGATTTGTTTGGGCTCATATTTTTATGATATAAAGTAGATTTACTTTCTTCCCCTTTGCAAGGAGTGCATCACTGTTATGAAGGAATGTGACCTTTCCATTAAAGAATCTATCCTTCAGTCTAGCATTATCAAGCTGGCTGATGGATATGGGATTGTTGAATGGATTTAGGGTGTATAGGGTGTCTTTTAACTCTCTATTTCACAGTAGATGATGAAGTTTTATTTATGGCAATTGTTTTCTTTCACAATCAGTGTAGGGAGCCTTTCCATTTCATGGTCCATCACTAATTGTTGACTGTATAGCTATTATGCATGTGACATGGGTGTAGAGAGGACTTTTGGTTGATAGTACATCATGAATTTTTGACTCTATCTCCATTTTGCACATGTTACTGGTGTAGAGAGCACATTTCTTTAGTGGTATATCACTAATTATCCAGTGTATCTTCACCTTGCACATATGACATTCATGTAGGGAGCACATCCATTCTGTGGTACATGACCAATTTTTTATTTATGGTGATTGTAGTCTTTCTCAATCATATAGAGAGCACATCCAGTCTGTGCTTCCTGACAATTTTTTTTAAATGGCCATTCTTATGTTTCTGAGTTTTATAGATTGATGTAGGGAGCAATTGCATTCCATGGTACATGACTGATTTTTTTAAAATGACCATTCTTGCATTTTTGAATTCTATAGATGCATGTAGGGCTCGCATCCAGTTGGCGGTACATTACCAATTCTCCAATTATGACCATTCTGGTTGTTTAGATTCTTTTACTGTCTTTTTCAATCATGTATGGTGTCCATTTCTTTGGTGGTACAAGATGAATTTTTTATTTATAGCCATCCCTGTCCTTCTCAATTGTTTAGGAAGCACCTCCAATCTATGGTCCATCACCAATTGTTAAATATATCTCCATTTTGTACAGAATATTGATGTAGTGCTGTTCTCTACATCAATATTCTGTACAAAATGGAGATATATTTAACAATTGGTGATGGACCATAGATTGGAGGTGCTTCCTAAACAATTGAGAAGGACAGGGATGGCTATAAATAAAAAATTCATCTTGTACCACCAAAGAAATGGACACCATACATGATTGAAAAAGACAGTAAAAGAATCTAAACAACCAGAATGGTCATAATTGGAGAATTGGTAATGTACCGCAGACTGGATGCAAGCCCTACATGCATCTATCAAATTCTATAATGCAAAAATGGCCATATTTCGAGAATTTGTAATGTACCGCCGACTGGATGCGAGCCCTATGCCCATGTCACATGCAAATGAGCATAGACTTCATGTACCGCAAAACCGACATGCCCCCTACCAAAGTGCATGGACTATGCACAAGAGAGACCACTGTGCATTTGCAGTACTGGCCTGTGCATGGTCCATGCACTGGGTGAGCCATGCATTGCATTTTGCAGTCCCACCACTGCTGTTCTGTGTACCACTGTTGGTTTAAACCCTAACTTAGGGTTGCTTCTGAGGTTCTTCTGAGCAATTCATGTACCGCCTACCTATAAGTAAGTAAGCAGTAAGTAAGCAAGTAAGCATGTTATCTCACTGCCTGATATGATATAGGTGGGTTATCAGATCTCAAATTTAATCTCTCTTGATATTAGAATTGTTGAAATGGCTCATGAATATCGTGCCTCTGATGGCCCAGACACCCGCATTGAGATGGCCCCGTTTTGGTCCATAATCAGCCTTCAGCTCAATAGTCAACCTCCTCTGGGGATAAGGCCGTCTATAGCAACCAAGCAACGCAATTGTCCTCTTCGTCGAAGAATGCACCCACCTGGATGGTATCTTACCGTTCTGAATTGACATTAAAGCTAAAACAGTACCCTGACCAGGTAAGCCATACTCTCCTTCATGAAGAAATAGAACGTCCCAACTAGTAATGATACAGCTAGAAACCTATCGCAAATGGGGAATTTTATTCCCGGACAATCCTCGTGGTACGTCAACACTCATCGCCCCTCTTTCCCATCAGCCTGTTGGTCAAGCTCAGGTAGCAGCACATCCTTAGGTGCCTCCTCCACAAGCACAGTAATGCAACACAGCATTAGAAATACTCGTACATTAGGGTTCAATTATCTCGCACTTTTAAGCACCATCTACTGCAGTATGGGAGGGACATGTTCTTATCAATGTTATGGATATCCGTAATGCCAGAAACCGGCGGAATCTTCTGGAAAACTCCAGTCGCTTGACATTTCTTCTTCCTTCTTCTACTCCTTTCTTTACTTGACTTACTCAGGCTAATCTACTGGTTATGACTCACGAAACTTGCAGAATCTTCTAGTAATACCCTTTTTATACAAATGTAGCTACTTGATATGTAGTCGATACTCAATTATTACTATCTTGAACTCCCTAATACTTGTGTGACCTCAAGCACCGGAAACCTAAGCTTCGCGCTAGTCTCCTAACGTTGTTCAAGATAACTGTTGAGATCCTCGAGCTCGCTCGAACCGATTTAAATTGAAAATGAGAAGTAGCCGATGACATCGGGGAAAAGGACTATGAGGCTGCTCAGAAGAACCTTCGAAATTCACAAACATGTGTACAATCGAGGTTTTTCGTACGAGTTCCTCAGGCGTTCTCCATCCATGTGCATATTACATACAGAAACTCAGATGCGTTCGTGAGTATTTAATTTCCTGGGCAAACCATTCTCCAACGGAACTAGTCTTCAATCCCGGAGAACAGAAACTCTGGCGGTGCCTGCATGACAGGTCTTCATGTTTTGGTCATTTATCAGAGCATTAGTCGAAATTATACCTGTCAAGTAAGCGATACAACCATCAAGAATAAACGACTACGAAGACAACGGCTACCTTGGTCCCACTTGGCGTAACGTCCATGATGGGGAATTCGGGAGTAGAGATCCATAAGTAGGCATCCGTGTCAAAATCCCTCCGATCCATTGTTTCTGGACCATGTTGCCACGATGCATAGCAATCCTTGCATCTGTGGTCCGTTAGTTGGCGGGAATGCACGCAACAAAAATCGTAGGGTATGGATAACCCTTGTTTAAGCTTCCTCTGCGAAAACCGGCGAAACCGAGCTAGAGTCCGACATCGCGCGTACACTTTACTTCCTTCAAGCCCTAGCCTCGACCTACTTTGAAAATTGGGTTCTGTATTTGTATTACTCAAGTGGTTCGGTTTCTCTGTGCCTACGACATCCAGATAGTTTGTTTCTTCATGTGGCGTAACGTAGCTTCCTTTCTTATGTTCCCCATTTGCGGAATGTCTAGGTCCTTGTCAACATGTCTTTTGTCTGGGTTCTCTTTTAGACCATGATGGCCTTGGTTTCCGAGCCAATTCAAACTGATATTCCCTTGGTCCCTGATCCAATAACAGGCTAGCCTATTTGAATCTCGTTCCTCTGTCAGTATTCTTCCAGCTGACTGTGAATTTACACATGTAGCGCAGAAATTCAGGTCCGGACTCCTCAAGCGAAAGGAACATGCGTGGTGAGAGAAAATGAAAATAGTCTACAATTACACGATCAGCGGCATCAGGGCAGGGTCGCCCGCAGTCTAAATGGACCCAACGATTGGACGAGCACCGTTTCATTATACATAGAAAACCTCCGCGCTTCCCTCAAACCGCCGACAGGATTTACACTCTGCGGACGTTATTAAGTCGAGAGACATCTTGATGGATCTTTGAATTGGACAGAAAGCGCCTGTAGGGTAGTCCCTTGCGAAGGGATAAGGAATTGAATGAAGTAAATATAGGGCTTTTCTCGCTGTTTTGAGAAATCAGCCTAGGTCATACGGATAGTGACCTATTAGATAGATGAACATTACTCCCTCCCGGTGGGGAAAATTGAATGCCCGAAGGCGACTATCACATTCGCCTTAGAAGGTTCGGAGTAACGAGTGTCATTGGATCGGCGAATAAAGCCTAGACTGACAAGCATCCGTGGCTTTTAGTTATTCCGACAAAATGAATACGCCGTAATACGTACTGAGAAGTAACGAACTGATGACGAGAGCCTGAAACTTGGACAAGGTCCTTCGATACGCTACAGCGACATTATCCTAGTTGATGCATCAACACAGATGGACATACACGGCACATCGAACCTTTCGCAACACATCCCTGCAGAACCTGTCAAATCGCCGATTATCAGTGAATCGAAAGCAGATCGCACCTTATCCTGAAAATTCTCCCACAGCGTCTTACAGCTCTGCTCGTTGGACTCGACTATCCAGTGACCATAAAATCGGCGTTTCATGGGCACCTAAAGGAAGATCAGACAACACGATTTCTGGATACAATGCTGGACTCACCGAATTATCCCTGTCGACAGTGCAATACCCTGGCTTTTCAAAATCGATGCCATGAATGGTAATCTCCTTCTCCTTGCACCAACGCAAGCCATGTTCGCCCCTAGGTACGCCCATCAGCTGAGCAGAATACTCGCGGGTGCCATAGCGGAGACATCGTTTTGATGGAGCTATGTCAGCCCATGCGAGACCATCGTGTATGAGCTGATATCTCTTCTTCGGGGATCCGGCGCGGAGGTGAAGAACAAGTAGGAACATGCAGATTATGAAGATTACTATGGCTCGAAGAGCTCTCCTTCAAATATCAATCAGATTTCATAAAATAGAGCGGTGGGGACACTTACTTGGAAGACAGTTTCGAGGCATATGTCCTAACGTAGCCATTAGTCATTGAAGTATCGACAATGAATAATTAATCACAAGGCGGATGGATTAGAAAGGGCTACTGAATTGGGGTTGACTGTAAAAAATAAACAGATAAGCCAGCGCCATCAAACGAAAGAGCAGTAGCTACCGGAATACAAAGGGCCTCCACTCTCATTCGCGTTAGTCTCTGCAGGTTCAATGTCTCTGCGGGCATAAGGAGGCGGCGGGGCCACTCCAGAAGTAGAAGAAGTTGTGTTTGAGTTCGTTGGTGGCGGTATATGTGACGGCTGCACGTCGTCGACACCCTCCTCGATGATCTCGGTCATGCTGATGGTTGGAGATAAAGCCACGGCGTTGGTTCCGCTCTGGGATTTCAGATGTTCGGCCCGAATTCTGGCAACAATTGAACACGATTGTCACATTCAAGGCCGCAAAACAAAATTTATTTATTATATAACTCCCAGGTCTTCCAATGGTGGTCGATCGTAACAGTCCAGGCTATCCTGACTATGCAAATGCACTGACTACGAGTATCGCATCACTTGGAATGCTATACGGTGTCACCAACCAGGGAAGCAAGCGCTAGCAACAGCATCAGAAAAGGATAGTCCATCAACGAAAGATGGAACGCTTACAATAGAGGTCTTCCAAAATTATATGCAGGGCAAATTATCGCATCAAACCTGGAAGTAGTGTCCACTTGCGCTTCTCCTACACAGTCGACCTTGTCCTTATTTCCTTTCCGTGTCAGTGGATAGGTAATATTAAGCGACAGAGGTCGAAAAGTCTTTTTAAATTACTTTCGGTAGTAATCCGCAGGGAGTTACGAAAGCGGGCAATACACCTCAGCTTCACAACGAGGACCCCTTCAATGGTTCCAGTCCGTAAAGTAGGATAATCATACAAAGCGAGAATCAATCCAGGAAACATCATGATCGCACCACGGCTTTCTTCCCCGCCAAACGCTGACTTTTCCTCGCGCCGCCAGGATGGTGGACATCATAGATGGTCCGCCCAAGTCCATGCGAATTTGCAGGGTTCACCTTGGGAGGGAGGGGGACTGCCCTGGATGGATGCGTCACGTCGTATATCGTCCGGGATTTCACCTGAATCAAGAATCAGCGGGAGATAGGGAAGGATTTGGAAACTACCGTTTCAGATAGCCTGTCCGAGTCTGCTGTATGATGTACGGATTGGATTTGGGAGAAGACAGACTTGTCTGCAGACGATTCCTTTGTGCCTACATCGATGTATAAGAGAGCCAGGTACCGAAGAAAGAAAGATAAGAAAGAAACACACCAGTTCTCTCTTCACCGTCGCGTCGTTTTGGGAGAAAAGAGAAACCCGATCTGTCGGAGTTCGATCCCGAAACGCCGCGCTGGATCTCTCCAACGTAATGTGTTTTCATCTTTTTCATATTGGGTGAAGATTTCGAAAGTTCGCGGGCAGCTGGTGTAAGGGCATTGGCATTGTATGAATCCTTGTTACAGAGGGGAGGTGAGCGAGGATAAAGAGCGCGAAGAGGACCGAAAGCGTACCTCACCCTGTTTGTCATAGGGCTTCGAGGCGCGAGAGATAGCATTGTAGAAGTACCGCTCCTGATCGGGACACTTGGGTCCACCTGAAAGGCTTCGTCAGCGAAGAGCAGAACGCGTAGTACGACAACGACGAAACCTACGTGGAGCACGCATCGCGGTCTTGTTCTTATAAAACACAGGCTTCGAAGGAGCTACACTGAAGCCGGAGACCCCATCGTCAATCTGTTCTCCGAAGCGTCGTTTGTTTTTCATGTGAGGCACCACCGGCTGAGGATCGTTCCTGGAAGCTTGGATTTCGTATAAGGTAGGGTTATCATCTCGGGCTTGGAGAGGTGGCTGTCGCGTGATATCATCTTCGAGACAAATTTGCATTCTAGGTGGAGCATAACGGTCCTACGAAGATAAGCATCAGCATTCGGATGATTTACCACACAGCGAAAGAGTACTAGAGGAGGAGGTAGCGACTCGTCGGGGTTTAAAAGCCATCTAGCTATTGATTAGAACCATGAGCATATTCAGCTTCGTTTTCGAGCCTCACCGAAGCGATGGGGGTCCCTCGATGGGTGCCATCGTGGAACAAAAAAACAAAAACAAAAAAGAAGCACGCGTCAGCTGCCAGGCGAATTTCGAAGAACAAACGTAAGCACATGATCCGGTGATTTACCGACTATTTCGACGCGTCGCGTTAGTCGCGTCCACGACCACAGGGTGGTTCCTGCCGCCCAAGTCCGCCACACTCACAGGTAGGCCGTGAGTTTGGAGCGAAAATCGAATAAGTGGGTTTTATGATAGCATCTATGCATTGCGCGATGGATCAGTGCGTGATATTGAGCAATCAAAACTGCAGGAATTAACGATCTGATGCTGAAAGGTGTACGCTGATTTTAATGAGAGCCATCAGACACGAGTTCATGGGCCGCAAGTGGGAAACGCTAATGTTTTCCCAGTGTTTGCCGGTCCGGGTAACCAACAATAATTGGATTTCCTTGGATCAGCGACTGCGCATTCTGAGATAGAGGATTGGTGACATATTTTCGGTCTTAATATGTGTTCAGAAGAGCTGGATGCGAATACGATCGATCTCGCTCAGTTATCTATGGAAGAGAGAGTCGATTCATCAGTACAGTGTCCTGTATTTGAGTCGAAACCTTGAAATCTGCTGCAAGTACAAGAATTCAAGATGTGAACCGGATTCCGTATAATCACCGAACGTCAGCTCGTGATCGATTCCCCCTGTCGACGATGATTTGAGCTTAAGGTAAGTCAACGTGACGGGAGAACGAATGTCAATTACCCTAGTCACGATGGCCCTCCCGCTGCCAAAGATTAATATCAGCTGAGAGCTAGTGGGAGGAAATGTCGGGAACTAGAAAAATAACTGCGGGCGTTGATTACGCGGCCAAGGGCTCGGTTTCCTTTTGCACGAGGCTCTGCCCTCCCAATGCGGTCACGAGACGCCGCGAAGCCGAAGGAACAGCAGCAGCATAAATGCAGAGGTCTTCGAAATGGGAAATGGAAGGAAGCAATCTATACGAAAAATATTTAGGTCGACTTACCAGCTTCGACTCGGAGGTGATTAACCCTTGGCGCAGGATCCAGACTGGGATCATGCGACGCGTTTTATATTTCTTACCCTTCGTGCCAGGAAGACGAAGCGGGCGCATCAACGGTGGGTGCCTGAACTTATCCATTGCGGCGAGACGATGTGACGTCATAGGCCTTTTCCCGGCATTTTCGGAAATAACCGGTTCCGTTCTTCCCTCGTTTTCTCTTCTGTCGCCGCATAACGATAACTGCCTGGTTCTTCGGTTGTTAAGGCGCTCTCAGCTTCTATGATGCGATACAATACTTACTTGAAAGTCATCGATTTATATCTTTCCGCCTCTCGATATTGCGACAATTGGATTGGCTTGATGAACCGCGGTCCCATGAAACAAAGTTGACGATTCATTCGGTTAACGAAACAGCTCCCTCTATGGACTACCAATCTGGGCTTCTCTAGGGGCGTTAGACCGCAAATCGTGGTTCCGATTCGGTAACAAAGAGGCGCCCATCCCCCATTATCCGCAGATAGTGGCGTCTCCTGGCTTATATTAAACGCCAAGCTGATCCCAACTCTTTCAAGCAGCCAACGTCGAGCATCGCTTCAGCACTCTCAAAAGTCAATTTTTTTTACCCCACTCTTCATCATGCTGTCATGGATGGCAGATATCTTCCCCACGACACATTCCCCGCCGCCTGTCGTCACCCAGTCGGATTACACCCCTCTCACCATCGAGTGCATCCAGATACCTGCAGACGGCTCTGATCCTCATATGGTCCGCCTCGATACCACCTACATCAACGACGACAAGCTTGACGACTCTTTCCTCTTCCACATCCCCGACGTCCGCGTCTTCTGGACATTCCACTACGCCACCGATGCAAAGTCAGAGGAAGGGATATGGCGCAAGCGCACCCTCCGCCGTGTCGATGTCGCCGACCAGCACACAGAGGCGCTCAACGGGAGCTACTATTTCTTCCGCTGCGTCGACGGGCGGCTTCAGCGGAATCTTCACTTTCGGAAGGACACGACCGTGAGGGGGGACGTCTTCGTCGTCAAAGTGAAGGACTGGGACACATGGTCGGAGCCTGCCGAGTATATCGATGTCCCGACGGATTTCGTGCAGACGAGGGAGGGGAAGATAACGCTCAGGAGGATGATGGATGCTTTCGTGAGCGCTTCCACCATCTGAAAGACGGTTCCAGGTTCGACGATACTTCGCTTTTATACAATTATACGGACTTATGATAATTTACTGTACCACCATTTAATCTTTTCTTTCTCCCATTTCAGATTCATCAACAAGCAGCAATTATATCTTATACCCTTCCATTCCACACTTTATATATTCTTCATGTTTTCAAAATTTAGCTATGCCTGGCCCTCGTACGTAGCAGCGAACATACTAAACGTTTAAAATTTGATCTTCCCCTCCGCAGACACCTGATATGGCTTCATCACCTTCCACCGTCAGCCTGGTGCCCGGCTTGCACGTGATCAGTTTATCTATGGGACGGCGTCCAAACGGACCCTACTCGTCTCCCTTCTTTGACCGTCCCTATTCTTTGTACCCGATATTCACCTGGCTACTTTGAAAAGGATCGGGGGTGAGGGATACGTCCATGCCCACAAAGCGTCTTGGAGTAATTTCACTGACGGAAGACGATCACCTGGACAAATATCAAGTCATGTCTCGATGATTGCCAGTATAGGTAGTATCATCTTAAGCACTTGTATATGAGGGCTCATCATCCGTCCAAATACTCGGCAAGTGAACGCTCCTTTCACCTCAGTGTAAGCAATTCATGTACTTCTTAGTGGCGATTCCTGCGCTTGTGAAGACGAAACAATAGAAGTATGGAGACCCCCGCCACTATGTACAGCTTCCCTACTGTCTTACTCATGTGGGCGTAAGTTTGTTTTCATTTGGTTTTCTCCACACTCTCACCCGAAATCAAGTATGGTCTCCTTCCTGGTCGCGTCCGGCGTAGTCTGTTTCACTGCCTCCAGTTTATCCGACCGAATGCTCGTCGGTGGTGCATGGATTCTTATCGGCGTCTCCTCATACTCTGGTGCAGCGCTGCATTTTGGGAAGTCAAGCATGTGTATGTTCCTTACATGTCCGACCTCGCAGTGCCGGTCAAGTATTGGGACAGATTGCCTGCAAATCTCGTGAAAAGATTTTATATATATAGAATGAAGACACTCCCGCGGATAAGCTCGGTGGACAAGGTAGCAGTGGACGTTTAATGCTGAAGAGTGCGGAGGAGCTGATGATTCTGTACCAGAGTCCCGTAGCGTTTGTTAGGTTGTAATTATATGATCGTGCTGTGCACTGATAAGAAATTAAGGTATATCCTGATCTCCAATAGCCAGCCCATATTAGCATTGTTTCCAAGTCCAATTGAGCCACGTCCTGACTAGGTGACAGCCATTAGTAATCGGAACATTTATGTTTTGGCATTGTTCGCAGTATTTTTATACTGATCTCTCTACAGGACACATTGTATGTCATTGCCCAAAGGCTACTAAAATCGTCTCAAGTATCTACAGCTTAGCCTCTCCGACGCTGTCGGAGAATTCTTGTCGAAAAGCGCCTTGGCTTCAGTCCATACTTGTGCATTCTCCGGTCAGGACGCTGGAGCAAGGAGGGAAAAACGGCCGAGCTGAACTGCGCCGAGGCTTCCCGTGGAAGCAAGGAAGGGAGGTGATCGACAGATAACCACTGACAGTGGCGGATTTTCAGTCCTGGAAATGTTAACTGGTCAAGGTACAATAATCTCGGGGACGTATCCGTGTAAAAAAAAGACTTCTCACTGGACGTCGACAGATACTCTGGGCGAAAAGAATGTTGTGTTAATTATGTATATGGGAATCGAGTTGAAAAAGTTCGTAGTATCGCAGCTGACATCGACGACTGTCGACAGCCGCAATCCTTTTCCTACGGAGATGAGCTGTTCACGTGTCAAGAACAGGGGGCCCCTTGGAATTGAGAGAGATGCGATTGACGAAGATGTCGACATCAAGATTCTCAGAGAAGGGGCCACCCTTTGCAGTTTCCCCCATGTCCCACTTGAGAATGTCGTCCCTGGATGGGAAGATGAGTCGCATTGTCAGAAACTCAGGAAAGATACATACTCGTCCAGTAAACAGGTCAACAGTGCGGGGTCTACATCTTCCCAGAGCGCCAATGATCAGGACCTTGACACCTTTGCCACTACCACCTAAGGCAGTCTTTACGGCATTAATCATGGCGTCTTCATTCTCGAAAAACACGAGATGCCCAAGTTTTTCGCCCCTTCTCTGTGATGCGACCGCGAGAACGCGGGTAGCTGCCCCTGCGAAGCCAGTATGATAATCAAAGGCCGCAATCCGACGACCATTTTCAGGAACCCTATGTCGTACAGGGCTCCTCCACCACGATGCAAAGATGTCAATACATCGACTCACATTTCTTGTCGCTTGTAGCAGTTCGAAAACTGGATATGACTATATGGGATAGGGTCGGTGGACTCGGGGAGCGCCTTCAATCCAATGATTGGGACGCCAACCGGTAGCGTTGGCCAAGTATTGTTGTCCATTACATCCAACACTATCGTAGCAATGAATGATTAAAAAGCGAAGACACAATATCTGCAGTAACGCTTCGTATTCAGAATCATTAACAATCCGTTGCTTACCCTGTTCGACGAAAATTAAACCGGCATCGATGAGCTTTCTTGTGGTAGCCAGTGTCAATGCAGTTCGACTTAAAACTCTTTCTTTTCGCAGCGAAGCCAGAGAGTGGGCTTGGACATTTGGGATGAGATGGCAGACGGTTGAGAAAAAGCTGTGACTCGATTCTTGACTCCATTGGTGTTAAATAACGATTTAGATCAAAATTTTGCCACGATTATCATCTAAGTAGGGATATAAACATGTACGGCTGAATATTGATTGCTCCTTTTCATGAGAAGAGGGGCTTACCAGGATGGATGATACCCGACAACTATCGTCCAAATAAGACCTGCCTCACAGATTTTATTAAAAAAAATGAGATGAACGAATCCGGCAGGGGACAGAGGATCCACAGAATGACTTGAGACACACGTTACAGCACGGATGTGTCGTTCGTCGACTGAACTTTGAAGTAACATAAAAACCATTGCGCTGTTAATTATATACAATAAACCTTGTATGTGTAGATTCTGCCTCAATTTAATTGAGTTCAGGATAGAATTAGTGGCCTGCAAGTACGGTTCAAGATGTGACCAGGACAGAAGTAAACTTGCATAAATATAGGGTTGTTAAATATGTTGCCGGAAATGGCGGCCTGATACATTCGCTATCCGGAAGGACGGTCCGTATTCTGCCGCCGGGTCGATTTCCGATCCCTACTTATCAAGTCTTACTATGGCTCTGCCCCAGTTGCTGCGTCTCGAAAGGTGTCCCGTCACCGTGAAGTTTCTCATATTTTTTTCGTAATTCTGTGACTCACCCGTACCTAGGATTCCTCAAGGATCACATTGGGCCTCGATGTGCAACCCGACTCCAACGCAGCTCTACATATACCAGAAAACTGATGGATTTCTGCATCGCTAGAAGGCTTGGTTGCCTGACTCTTTTTCTGTGCTCTTCTATCCTGTTCCTGTTCCTCATGTACCCAATATGACTAATGAAATCCATTCTCTCACAGAAACTTCTATTAACGCCTTGATCATATAAACTGTAGCCACTTCCTGACCTTGCTCAACGTACCTTTTCATATCCCAGAGCTCCCTCGGAGCCATTTTCGCTCGCGGACATGATCGAACGAAATACAAATACTTATTAATACTCCTCAAGCACATTAGCCGGTGACTCAAACGTTCTCGACAGTTTTAATCGTGCGGAACCGACTTGTTTATATATAATTGATGTCATACTCCTAATGGAAGACTGTTCCAGTAAAATAGGAATGAGCCAAAAGAAGGGACGATGATGACGATAACGCGGGCGGTTTGGTATTTCGAGATGGGATATCCGGTGTTTTAGACTTACGCACCCGTTGAGCGGTGTAATTAGAAAATGCAGTACCTTCAAAGCGAGGTTCCTTCCTGAAGGATCTGCAAGCGACTCTGAGCTTCTTTGACACTTGTAGTGACTGAATATATGCGGACCTATGAAAATGGCAAGACGGAGGCTTACCATCTGAATATGGATGCGACTTGATCCTGTAAAGACAAGTATGCATGATTCTCGAAGGGAACAGAAGCGGCAAGAAAGCTTTATATATCAGAAAGGTATTGCCATACAAGAAATTGAAGCACTTGTAATTTACTCCGTTCGGAAAGCGCGCCGTAATATTCAAATTCAAATTTGAACATACACGTGATTTTCATGTTTTCTTTTAAAAGCTTTCTTCCTCCGCTGCCGTAAAGTACTCTTTCTTCTGCTCCATCATTCAGTGTCCATTCTTCCTCGCTCGTCTGGTACGAGCCCGTATTTCTATTTCATTCAACGGTTTCGTATACACGTCCGTCAAGCCCATTTCCTGACCCTTTTTTTTCTCTTTCATCTCATTGCGAGGGGGGCAGTGGCTCACCGTCGTATTCCAAATTCTGGGTGTCGCTGGGTACGTGATACCTACAACCTACCTATGAATTTAAATGTTGAATTTGATTGCAATCAGTTCTTCGACGCGATGAATCGAGCAGTAGGGACGGGCCGAGGTCTTCCATTCGAGATATTTGACAAAATCATCGACCTAGTCGCGAAAGACACTAAAACGCTGATAAAATGCTCTCTCGTCTCTCGCGCCTTTTATGATCACACACGCTTCTACCTCCTGTACACCTTCCGCGTCTGTCCAGTTCTGCAAAGCGCCGCGCTCGCGCAGCTCGTCGACTTCTGGGACACTTCCCCACACCTCCCAACGTACATCCACACCTTTCACTTTTCCACCGTCTTCCTCACAGAACATGATGCACCTCGCGTTCTGTATCACCTGCGAAGCGTCAAAGACGCCTTCATGAATGACCTCGTCTTTGATCATTTCGAGCATCGCGAAGCCGTCGAGGCCTTAGCCGCTCTCCCCATACAGACCTTGACTATCAACAAATCCGCCTTTCCGAGCTTCCACGATTTCTCCTTTGTCATCCGCTGTTTTCCCCTCTTGAGATCCCTCCATCTCTTCGGTGCCTCCATCTCCGCCACTACCACAGTAACGCCCTGGATCAATTCCCTGCCACAATGCAGCCCTCCCCGTATCGAACACCTCACGATCACAGCCCGGTCTATTGACACCCGAAAGTCAAACACGCGCCTATTCTCAGAGTTCCCTGCCCCCCCGTTCGATGATAACCAGCCTTTCCGTATCGATAACTTGAAAAGGCTCGAGGTCCGGTGCGCGAACCAGACGGATATCATCCGGATCGGGAGGTTTCTTCCCCGTGTCAAGAGGACGCTCAAGAGCTTGAGCATCATACGAGTGGATAATGGTAAACAAAAATCAGCTCTCTTTTTTTTGTAATCGGTCGTCCATCTCACTTTCGTCCCAACGCTAGGTGTTTCAAGCCGAGGGCAGCCAATGCCGTGGGTCCTCGGTCTCCCCCCACTCGACCTCGAATCGATCGAAGACCTGACCATCGACGTTGGGTTCAAAGTCAGGTCCTACGCCGATTACTTGCTCTGGTGGATCTCCAACCTATCGACGGCGAAGGCTATTCGGTCCATCACCATTCGAATCGCCATGGCTCTCGAGTATATTCACAAGGAGGAAGATAAACAGTGGCAAAACGTCTGGCACGCGTTTGGTTTAGCTATGCTGGGGAAGGAGTCTTTGCAGAAGGTTCTTGTGGAGTTTCAGATCCCGTCTTCTCCGAGGAACTTTTTCACGAGGAAGAGGGGTGTCGAGCGTGAGTGTAGGGACTTGGTCGAGCGAGGTGTCATGCGCGTGGTCGTGCCGAACAAAGCGCGTTTGGTGGCGTTTTAGGTGGTGGATAATTGGTGAAATATTGTGTTTAGTATAGACTTTTACCAGTATGTGTCTCTGTATCTAGTCAATAATCAGCATGGATCAAATAATGGATATACGCATCGTGGGCAGAAGAGCATTGCTGTCTTAGGCTATGATGGACCAAAAAATGACTTGCTAAAGACAATCTGCACGACCATCAGCTTCTGAAAAATGTCCCTCGGACAAAGACCGAGAGCTCTGGGTTAACGGATTTGAGAAACATCGTCGTTGGTGCGGCTAAGAGAATTCTCCATTGTAACACTTGCGTACATTAACGTGCAATTTCCTTCAACGACCCGACCCGTGTTTTCTATCACCATCGTTCTATCGTATCGCCTACACTTACTCATGCATATACACTTGTTGGTCTAAAGATGTCTAGGTGATGTGTGTCTCTTCGATCCATAGACGATTCTAAGAGCCGCCGAACAAGTAATGGTTCTCGGAATCATGCGGAACGGGCATTGGGATTCGGGGACTGCCAATATGAAGGTCTTGATGCGGTCCTCCCTGTGTATGGTCCAGGAGGATGAACGGCGGGGCGTCCCCCCTAAACTCGCCAGCCTCATGTCTGCAGATGAAGGTCTAGAAGAGGAGGCAGGAGCGAGTTTTTGATTACGGCCGTTTGAACAAGGACTTCCTGCGTTTCGTTGTGTGATTGATAAAATTTCTAGAAGGAATTAGCTGTCATTCGCATCACACTTGAAGGCAGGCCCGTGCTCGCACTTACTTCTCCATTTTTCAACAGCCGAAAGGTCATGGTGCGCCTTCTCAAAAGGATCATCCATTATTGTAGACATAATGTCTCTTATCCGCAAGAAATTTACCACCAGATCGAGTGATGCTATAATACTCCGGTTATCATCAGAGTATGATAGATGTAGATGCTCCACCCAATGTCTGTAAGCGTTCTTCGGGCGCACCGTCGACAGATGACTTGGGTCGCATGTCCGCCGCGGTTGGGCTGAATGTGCACTGGTCAGGTCCTAAAAAGGTGTCTTTCTGTAATGTAATGATGGTGATGCTTCGGTGGCATATACAGTCGCGAGAAATCAAGCAGATGATGGTCCTGGCACTGAGTGCTTTCGAAAACCATCAAAATCACACCAACATGGCCACGGTTTGGGGGAAATCAGAAACTGGGCCAACGAAGGATGGTACATCTGGATAGGTTCGGTACTTCCTTGGGCATGCGCAGCATAGAATAGAATCCTACCAACAGCCCTCGCACATGATGAGGATTATGGCCGAGGACACCTGAAAGATCAGTCCGAGAAAGATCTGAGCCATTCTGAAACACCGAGAAACCCCAGAATGGACCGACACGCTGCGACCTTGTCGCCATTGAATGACCTGATATAAGAGGTCAAAAATTCTACCGTAAAAAAGCTCCACCCCAATTGGCACGTCCATCCTCTATGTTGCGCAACAAGTTTCCGCATTGATCGACTACAGATCCTGGCGCCTCGTCTTGCGGATAAGCTTTGGCATAAATGAAAAGCCTCTGAGATCGTTTCCCAATGCAGGCGAAGACGTCTTCGGGTGGTGGGTGGCTCCCCTTTGGGTGAAAGGCCCTTCTGAAGGCCATATGGGATGTAGAGCTAGATATCGGAGTTTACTCTTGTCTGGCAAAGAGGTTCAGTGTCGACGAGGAAAAGATTCCGATGTGTAGGATTAATCAATAAGTGGGTATCAGGTCGAAACTCTACAGACCTTCAAACCTCAGGGCAGCGGCATTGAATCCAACTGGTACTTCCAAAGCCCCCCCAGGCCTTCTCCACCTGTGGAGTCGCATTCATTCAGTCCATCGATCACAATTAGAACGGGAAGAGAACCGGATGTCGCAGTCTGGTTCCACGATGAACATCTTGCATTGATCGGCCGGTTTTTCAGTCAGAGTCCTTGCCATCCTGTTAATGGACTTCAACAATTGTCGTCCATATGTCTGACTGATGTCGCGAGCTCGAAGGCGATGGAAGGGGTGATGCAACGAATATTCTTCCGGTGCGCCTCTTTTCGACAGCAAAAGGAGGTGCTACCTAGGACATGGCGGTCTGGATTTGAAGTGATCCGTGCGATACTATTCGCTGTGGGAGTCTGACCAGTACCAGCCGTTCCCTGAAGCAGGCACACCAGCGGATGAGTATTACTCTCAAGCCATAAGGTGACTCGTAACACATCCTGACGCGTTCCTTCTACGTATTCCCCTCCCATGTCCGCATCCTACACAGCTCGCTGAACACACTGAATATTACTAAGTCGCCCTATGGATGTTGTCAGTGACAGATGAAGGTAGCCCAGTCAGGTGATCTTACCGTCATCAAATGTTCTCTGCGAAGACGAAGAGAATGGATCAGTAAGTTTCGGGAGAGCACATGACAAGGACCACACCGACACGCCAGCTGCTGCGTGGTCATAACTTAACCTGCGTCTCCATGAAAACTGCAATTAAAGCAATGTTATGATATGTATGTAATAACCCTACCATCAAGAAATCAAGATCCTGTTGAATGCAGCAAAAGAAATGGGCGTTCAGAACATGGTCATCCTTTACATTCAAAACACACTCGAGAGATCCTCAATTGAGTAATTCTCGAAGCCCAGGCACGAGCTCGTCGACATGACGGTAGATACAATGAGGAAAAAACCGAGCGAAGAGGATTTATATAAGTACCTCGCAACAGAGCCCATCCTAGTCAGCAACTCCTCAGGTATTTAGTAACACTTCTGCAACGCAATAAAGTGAATGTTCATTCATTCAGCTCCTGCATCAGGTCATATATTCTCCAATTTTTCCCACTGATTCTATGATACATTCTGGATATATGATATCAGTTATGGCAATGAAGAAAACAACTGTTCTCACCTCTATGAGCTTAAAGATATCAAGACTGATGTCAAGAAATACCTGTATGACAGGTATGAGTGCCTCTCCCAGTGTCTCCCATAGGAGACCCAGCATCATCTTCAATGCATGAATGACATTCTGTTGCAGGCAGGTTACTTTCACGCAGTGGATAATAGGCCAGACTGAGTACGATGGTCTATTGCTTAAAGGCTGAGGTACATATGACTACTACTTACCTGAGTATGATGGTCAATTGCTTAAAGGCAATTGACCATTGACTCAGGACAAAACTGTCTATGCTTATATAAGGTTGACATCAGGTACTTGTGTCATCCCACAACACTCCCCCTCAACACAATACTTCTCAGAGTTCAAGACCCAACAGCCTAATCATGTGAGTCATCTTCTCCTTTCCTAAGGCCTTTGTGAAGATGTCAGCAGGCATGTCTTCTGTGTGAAGATGTTCAATATGTATGTGCCCCCACTCAACCTCATCTCGTAACCAGTAGAAGCAGAGGTCTAGATGTTTGACATGACCATGATGATCAGGATTGCGAGTGACAGAGAGAGCAGACTGGTTGTCAATCAGTAGCAGAGATGGCAACAGATGATGGAAGCCAAATTCTGTGAACAGATTTTGCAGCCACAGAATTTCCTGTCCAGCAGAGATGGCAGCCACATAGTTGGCCTCTGTGGTCGATAAGGTTACTATAGATTGTAGCCAGCTCATCCAGCTGACTGCACCTGTGCCCATCTTGACAACATATCCTGAGGTCAAGCACCCATTGTCTGGGTTTCCACCATGATCTGCATCTGTGTATGTTTTGAACAGGTCTGAGTTTGTAGCATTAGGTGAATATGTCAATTTTAGGTTGATTGTTCTCTTTATGTATCTGAGGAGGCATTTCAGGACCTCCCAATGCCTCAATCCAGGGTTTTTGCTGAAACATGATAGGACACTGACTGCAAAAGCTATGTCAGGATGAGTGGCAATGGCCAGGTATGCTACAGAGCCAAGGATCTGGAGATATGGGATGTGCCACATGGTTTCCCATTCCTCTGGAGTAGCAGGGGACATTGAGTTGGATAGCTTAGTGTGTGGATCAAGAGGAGTACTGACACTGTTACAGTCAGACATTCTGGTACATTCTAGGATTTTTTGGATGTACTGTGATTGAGAGAGTGTGAGTGTTTGGTTTAGATGGTCTCTGTGTATTTCAACACTGAGGAGGAATGAAGTTGGACCTAGATCATGAAGTTTGAAGTACTTCTTGAGATCATTGACAACATGTCATGCAGACTCCATGGACTTTGTGGCAATTGTTACATCATCGACAAACACCAGAACAATAATCTGAGCATCATCTCTCTTGTACACCCATACACTGTGTTCACAGTGTACTCTGTCAAAGCCCATCTTGGTCATAGTGCTGTGGAGCTTTTTGTGCCATTCATGCCCAGCCTGCTTCAGTCTATAGATGGACTTGAAGAGATGAAGCACCCAGCTCTTGTCCTTTGTCTTGAATCCCTCTGGTTGTTGAAGGTATACCTCCTCTTTTAGATCACCATTCAGAAATGCTGATGAGATGTCCACACTCCAGAGCTCTAGGTCCTCAAGTGCAGCAAGAGTGAGGACTGTTTGGATGGCTGCCCATTTTGGAGTAGGAGAGAAGGTTTCAGTGTAGTCAAAACCTGGCTGCTGTGAGTACCCTTTTGCAACATAGTGTGCCTTGTAGTGTTCAATGGATCCATCAGGGTTACACTTCACTTTGAAGACCCATTTTCCACCTATAGCCTTTCACCCTGGAGGGAGCTTCACAAGCTGAAAGGTGCCACTCTCCTGCAGCACATTTAATTCCTGCTGAGCTGCCTCATACCATTTTTCACTTTCCTCTCCTGGCCAAGTCATCACCTCTGCAAGTGTCTTTGGTTCATCATTGGGTGCAGATGCTTGGTTTGCCATCTCTACTGCTGTCTGAAATGCAAGCTCAAGAGCTTCTGTATATATGATATAGTCATCATCATGCAATACAAAGATCATTCCTGTGACAACATCTGTCTCAGTAAGCTCTGGCTCAGCAGTGGTTTCATCAATAGGATCAGAAATGGGTTCATCTGAGTCTGGTGAGTTCATCGCATTAGTGTCAGAATGTTTACAGTGAAAACCATGTCCAGTGTTTGGAGATGGAATTATAAGACCTTTGAAGTCATATTGTGGCTTGAAGTGTGCCTGAGGACATGAAGGTGGTGAAGAGGGTGTAGGGGATGTTGAAAGACTTGATAGTGGAGTAAGAGGTGATCCTGGAGGTGTTTGCATATTTGATAGAGTGGATGGAGCTGGTGAGGATGGCAATGATGAGAGTTGCTCAGATGGTGGAGATGGCTTATCAGTAGGTATGTTCTCTCCCCCTTGATGAGGCATCGTTGCATCAGGTATAGCAGTATCTGTGCTGTTATGTCTGTTTGTGAGAGATGTGTCATCATCAAGAGGATTTATAATATTTCTGTGATTTCCAGGAAATACATGCTCATCAAATACAGCATGGCTGGAGGTGATGAACCACTGTGTAGAGGGGTTCCAGAATAGCCAGCCTTTTACTCCTTCTGGATACCCAACAAAGATACATTTTTGGGTGTGTGACTCTAATGCTCAACATCCCTTTTTTTGTACTAGCACATATGCAAGGCATCCAAACACATGAAAATAGGATATATCTGGTTTTTGGTGATTTGGGTCCCATTCTGTGAAGAGTGTGGTGTTTGGAAGAGGATCTGTGGAAATGCGATTTTGGACATGAATGAATACTCAGAGAGTGAGGTTCCAAAATTATAGTGGGAGATGTGACTCATTTAGCATGGCAGTGATGGCCTCCACAATTATGTGGTTGGCTCATTCTGCTGTGCCATTCTGGTATGGTTCATTGGATTCAGTATGTTGCCTTTTGATCTCATGCTCAGCACAGAAGTCGACAAACTCCTTTCCCATATATTCACTGCCTTTGTCTTCCTGAAACTCAATGATTTTGAGTCCTGGGTGGATATTCTCTGCATATGCTTTGAACTGCTTGAAGGCATTAAAGGCATCACTTTTATACTTCAAAGATATGACAGCCCAAGTGTCAGATGCACTGCAGATGAATGTTATCCAGTAATGATAGCCCTCTGGAGTTGTGACAGGCATTGGACCTTTGATATCACTGTATACTTGCTCAAGAAGGTGTTGCTTCCACTCTGAGGGGCCACAAGGAACATTGTGGTGATGCTGTTTGCCAGTGAGGCATGGTATGCAGATAGGATCAGTTGGAGGACCTGACTCTTGCTTCATTCCAGTTACTAGCTGCTTTGTATGCATGTGCCATATAGTGTCCATGTTTTGATGACAGCAACATCTGTGCCAAAGTGTGTTGTCCATCTGGCAGGTACTTGTAGAGCTTGAGTTTGCAATAATAGTGGTCAATTTTGAGAATGAATGTGTGGTAGCATTGACATAGCTGATATTGCTCTCATTTACAGTTGCCATGAATTGAATCTTTTCACTCTGGCTGAAAGTGACATCTGATCCAGTGATTGAGATTTTAAATCCCTTTTCCCATGTAAGATGACAGAGTGATAAGAGATTACTTTTCAATGCTGGTACATGTAATGTGTCAAGAAATTCCACTGCTGAGCCTTTCTCCCCCTGAATCTCTGACTCCAATACTACTCACCCAATCCCTGCTGAATAGATGACTGAATTGTCTGCAAGACAAATGAGAATGACATGTGGAGCATAGAGTCAGAACCATTGTCAGTGAGAGGTCATATGATGAGAAGCACCTGTATCAGTATTCCAATGAGACACAGCAGGTGATGATAGATCAGTACTTGCTTGGCTAGCAGTCTCCTCCTTTGTCTCAGCAGAGTTAGTGGCTTCCAAATCCTTCTTTCCAGCCTCCTTGTGATGATGCTTCTCAGCAGTACAGTCAGCAGCATGTTCATGGTCCCATTTAAGTGAGAGCTTCTTTGTTATACATTCTTCTTCTGCATGATTCTCATGAAGACACCATCCACATTTTGCAGCAGCATTAGTAGCCAGATTCATGGCTGAATGGAAAGGTGTGGCTTTGAGAGTGACAGAGACTGCTGGACTGCTGGATCACCAGCATGCAGCTTCTGATTGTTTTCTTCATTGTGAAATGCAGTGCAGAGTCCTTCAAGAGTGAGTTTATCAGAGAGAAGGAATAGCAATGTGACGAAGTTTCCAAATTCAGGCTGAGAGAGTGCATGAATCAGGGCCATAATGAGAAGCTCTTCTTCTAACTGCTGGAGGCCAAAATGAGCAGGATGCAGAGCACAGATATGACTCATGATTTGAGTGCCTCAACTGGCAAGGTCTGGAAGTGATTCTTCTGTCTCCTTCTTGAGATTGAAGAAGCTGTCATAGGCTACAAATTGAGTTGCTGGTTTTCTTTGCTGATGGTGTGCCTTTAATGTGTTCCACATCCTCTCTGGATCATCAAGGCAGCTCTTGACATCAGCCTTCTGGGATTCATCAAGACAGAGATAGATTGTGCCAGCAGCCAATACCTG